AATTTGAAGAACTACCACATATTTTCTCTCTTAAACCTGCCTCAAACCTGCCTTTACTCCTGTAAGCAAATGACTAAGTCCTCAATGGTAGCTGAGGTGAAACCTCAAGCAAATACATTTTCCACAGAGCTACAGTACATGTGTGAGAGGGGTAAGAGTGATCAGTAGCAGAAAAACAGCTCTTTATTGCCTTTTGTCTGCTGGTCACACACCATTAAACAACAAATCAGCTTGGAAATCTCTATTCTTCATGCTGCCTCTTCAAAATACAAGCTGTGACTGCTGAGTGCATTCTGTTAAAATTGTAGTTGACAAGCGAGGAAGGAAGGCAGTGATGTGCGGTGTCTGACCAGGGCTGTGAGGGGCCTGCTGATCAGAGACACGGACAGGCATCTTCTCGACCAACCACACACAGAACTGCAGCTTATCCAAACAGCACAGGTCACAAACCAGAGGAGCTTCATTAAGGTCATTCTGGCTCATTTGGTTACTAGAAGCCAATTGACCTCAAGATTGACAGGATCTCAGATGTTTCTCGAGAGCTGTCAACAAGATAGCATTGTAATTTGTTTCTGGCACACAAGAAATAACTGATACATCTCCAAATGTTAACATAAATATATGAATAATGCCAAATCCCTGGATTATATCCGTAATTAAGAAAGGCTACAAAGGAAGCCATTCAACCCCCCTTCATGTCAGCTTCTGTAATTTAAATAATAATTTAAAATATCCTTGTGCCTAGAGGGACTTCAATATTACAACAGAACATGGTTAGGGGCTGCTAGACAATTTTTATTTTCAACAGAATTGCTTTCTCTCGGTTGACCATTCCTCTTTAGTACTGAGTTGCTCACTGGAGAATTCTGTGCTTTAGCAAATGACAGAGTCAAGGGACTGAGTTACACCCTGACTAACAAACAATACAAGTGTAGAACTGGGCTTTATGAACCAAAATGAGGTTTAACCAGCAGACAGTAAAATCACTTTTGCAGTGCAGAAACCCCCCGAAAAAAAAACCCATTGTTTTTCTGTGTCTGTATTGTGTAATTGTAGGTAGAAACCTTAAAGGATCTTCAATTACTGGAAAAGTGTGTTTTCATTTCCATGCAGTTTTATCACAGGTTGTTGGTGGATGCAACACCTATTACAGATCTTTCAGTTTATTACACTTTGTCCATTTCCCAAAGGTTTGAGATTCAGACCTCAGTATTATTAATTACCAATGTCTCTTTCTAAAGTTCAATTCATGTAAAGAAATATAATCATGCTGGAAGTAAAGATAGTTTTCACTACAGTCCCCCATTAAGAGGTTCAATTGTAATTTTAGTGCTGTAGTCAACTGAATAGTATTTTTCTTGTATGCTCCAATTTTTTTAAGATGCAGTCTGTTAGTTGCTCTCATGCTTTTATCTTTGATCACACATGTGTGTGAATGAAGATGCACACACAACCCTAATACATAACTACCACCCAGCTGTGACACTTTCCTGCTGGTCTAAGCACTAAACCCCCGATACAATGGAGATCTGAGCATTCGTATTTTTCTCTAGGGCTCCGCAGTTCACTGTCATCTCTGCAACGTAATGGTCTGTTTTATCCTCCACAATGTCTCTTGAATAGTCAGCTCCTCCCTCATATCTTTAAAAAGACTGAAGGAGGAACACTTGAGATTAAGGGTTCATCATAAACCAGTTTTTATGATGTCTCTTGTTTGTGAGCTGTACTGAGTACTATAAAAACATGCCTACCAATAATCACAGCAGAGTGGATAGAATGTACACACACGACCATAAAACATGCACTGAGATAAAAAGATAAACAACAAGACAAAGTGGCCTTTTATCAATAACTAAAGTGAAAGACCATCTACAACAAATATTAATGAATCATGACAGTTCTTTAGCATTCCTTAAGCAAAATGTACAATTTAATCATGTACCAGAGTTTACTCAAATTAAAACAAAAATGTTTTTTTCAAAAAGAGAAAAAACAGTCTTATTTTAGAATAAGTGCATCTGTGGAGTGCAGATCTGAGTAAGGAGGCTGGAGATACTGTACAATTTGAGGCTCTGTGGAGATCTGTTTATTTACAAAGTGATATTAAGGACTGTGCTACTGGACTAGTCAGCAGTGTTCTCATGGATGACTGAAGTTGTATAATTTACAGTTTTTCCTAGTTGCTCATGCACTGTGATAAAATGGACACAGAGAGCGATCTGATCTCAACACAAAATTCCCGGAACAAAGCACCAGCTCTGCAAAACTGAACATACATTCTACTTGTTTCAAATCAATTTGCAATTCAGGTTGACTAACGTTGCAAAACACTTCACACAATCCTCAATGTATATAAGCACAACAGTCATTGTAAGAACACTTGGGCCACTACTACTAATACATGAATCACCTGGTATCACTCAAAATGACAATGAACTACAACAGTCTTCACCTGAACAAACACAATCAGTCAAATATTTTCACTCAGTTCTCCAATATAATGTCTGACAAGCAAAACAGACATCAGAATAGTTATAAAACAAAATACAATAAAATAAATAAATACAAAGGTGTGTGCAAAATGTGCTGATCATAGTCACTGTAAAAACAATAAAATATGTGCAAAATGTGCATAGGTTTATATAGACTGATTGTCCAAAAAGTACAATGGAGCAAACATGCTGTCCATAGAGGAGCAAATGAAGGGCTAACAGTCCTAGCCTAGGGCAGTGTTATACACCCTGACAGCAGCCGGGAGGAAAGACCTGCAGAAACGTTCCCTTGAACACCGTAGCTGGAGCAGTCTGTTGCTAAAAGTAACAGTCCCATGAAGCGGATGAGAGGTGTTGTTCATGATGGCTGTGAGCTTGGTCAGCATTCTCCTCTCAGCCACCACCTCCATGGGGTCAAGGCTCATCCCCAACACAGTGCCACTCCAGCTTGTAGGAGTACTTGTAGGAATGTACGCCCTCTATGTCCTCATCCTGGATGGAAACAGGGTTCAGCAGAGACTTATTCCTTCGAAAGTCGAAGATCATTTCTTTGGTCTTGCTGGTGTTAAGCTGGAGATGGTTAAGATGACACCACTCCACAAAATTGGTAATCAAGCTCCTACTGTATATTTCTCCTCCTTCCCCTCTCTAATACACCCCACAATTGCAGAGTCATCCAAAAACTTCTGCAGATGACATGTCTCAGAGTTGTACCTGAAGTCAGAGGTGTAAAAGGTGAACAGGAATGGAGCAAGGACAGTCCCCTGTGGAGCCCCAGTACTGCTAACAATCTGTTCGGACACACAGCTCTGTAGCCGTACATACTGTGGCCTGCAGGTCAGATAGTCTATAATCCAGGACAGTGTGCCATTTGAGAGAAACAGTGATTGTGTGAAAGAGATGCCCTACTATGAATCTCCATGCAGTAGGTACAGTAGTGTGCACTTGTCTTGCACAGAGGTGTAGGGGAGTAGTGTTACAGTATACAGCACTGTAAGAGAAATGCACAATATCCTCATCCCTGTACCTACAGTATATGATTATGTCTTTATTATAGCCAGCAGCCATATCACTCTGCAATTGGCAATCCACTGAAGTTAAGCAGGTGTGAGCCTGGTCAGTACCTGGATGGGAGACCTCCTGGGAAAAACTAAGGTTGCTGCTGGAAGAGGTGTTAGTGGGGCCAGCAGGGGGAGCTCACCCTGCAGTCCATGTGGGTCCTAATGCCCCATTATAGTGATGGGGACACTGTATTGTAAACAGGCGCCGTCCTTCGGATGAGACGTAAAACCAACGTCCTGACTCTCTGTGGTCATTAAAAATCCCAGGGAGTTTCTCAAAAAGAGCATTCTGGCAAAATTTCCGATTGGCCCTTACCAATCATCCTAATGATCCCCAACTATGAATTGGCTTCATTACTCTGCTCTCCTCCCCATTGAGAGCTGGCATTGCATCATCCAGGTGGGGCTGCACACTGGTGGTGGTGGAGGGGATCCCCATTACCTGTAAAGCGCTTTGAGTGGAGTGTCCAGAAAAGCGCTATATAAGTCTAAGCAATTATTATTATTAATTTATTCAAAAAATCTTGAAACTTGAAGCAAATGCTGCCCCTAATGAGTTCATCTATGTTGATGAGGCAGGATTCAATCTGTCCACCATATTCTCCATTCCTCAATCCAACTGAGGTTTTTTCTGCATGGTGATGGAAGGTTTACGACCGTAAGTCTTATGAGCAAGTCCGTCTACTTCAGGCACTGGAAGAGAATTGTGATGTTCGTGCAGTTGCTTGCCAAGCATGGATTCTTCATGCTAGGAGATGTTTTCCCAACTTCTTGGCCAGGGAAAACATCAGCTGTAATGTAGATGAAAACCTGTGGCCAAATCCACAGGACAGACAGGACAGTTTCTGAAGGCAGCATTTGTTTCTTGTTTTCATACAATAGTTGTTTTGGCAGTTTACTGTGTTTGTCTTCATTTACAGAAAGCATGTTGTGTATTTTACTGTGATTTTGTGTAAAAATGAAACGTCTGAACATTCATTACAGTGAGTTTTTTTCCAAATGGCTTTGTTCAATTTAATCCGTTCCTACATGCATTTCCCCTTTTGATCAGATAATTTATTTTTTGGACACACTGTGTTTTATTGTTGCTTTGTGAGAGTTACACATATGACATAAGACAGATGTGTCTTCTAAATCCACAGTAATGTTTAGCTTCATTACCCTTTTCCAGCATGTGCCTCTGTGCCTGATCCTCAGGGCGGTTCTGCCCCCACCATGGTGAGATTAGCCTGGGATCTGTCCTAAGTTCAATGTTACAGGCTGGACTCTGGACCCTTCTCCAGGCTGTAGTCTGGTTCTGTTAAGAAAGAACCATTGACTTTTTTCAGAATGCTTGCTTTCGAATCCTTAAAGCTCTGAACACACTTTTGTATGAAGACACTGCCCCATCTGTGCTGCCTGGAAATATGGCTCATTGCGAGATTTCAGCCCCTTGGTGGGTCTGGTGTCTTACAGAGCACTGGTTTCTCACTGGCTTGGCACTTTTAACAAACTCTTTAGTGTGGGGTAAGGTGTGGGGATTACAGAGAAATATATGCATGCTAAACTCATTAGAGTCCTGCTATAGATAGATTATAGTCAGCGGTTGAAGAAGGGGACCGGGGCGATTTTGCTCGTCAGAATCCGGAGATGATGGCACTGAAATCACGAGGCAGACGCGCCTCTCGCGTCCAGCTCCCTGCCTCCGCGGCTCGTCAGTCAGCACCTGTCTTGTGCATCAAACTACAGCAGAGGTGCAGCGATACATTCAGCGATACACCCAGTACTGTCTTTACACTCCAGCGTAATGGAAAGGAATAAGAAAAAAACTGAAACCATGAAATCCGAAAACTCGACTCTTACACATGCCAAAAGAGGAAACAACAGACTAAATAGCAAAATACTTAAATTGAAATTAAGCAGCAGTATTTTTTCTACTAAGTAAACAAATATAAATGAAAGAGAAAGGTTTTATACTATAATAAAGATAACCTGTGACTGGTTGAAGGTGTTGCGCATACAACACATTTAGTACTACCGCTTTAAGAACTGTTGGTGAGAGGCTTGTGTGACAAAGTAGGTAACTGACGGATCCCTTGTCGTGGGTCCACCTCTCAACTTTGCGGCTCAGTCGCCGCAGCTCTGTGTCTGGGAGACCCAGCTCCGGCAGCAGGCGGACACGGCGCTGTGGGGACCTGTGATGTGCCAAGCAGCGCTGTGAGGACTCCTCTCAACTCGCAGCGCTGGTATTTCAGCGCTCTCTGCGGACTGCGAGGATGGACGAAAGCACTATGTTCTCTGGCAATGACACCTACCGGTACCTTTGGACTGACGGTCCGGGGAACATGAACAGCACCAGTGAGAAGGACGGGGGCGCGGAGGTGGTCATCGTGCCAATTGTCTTTGGGCTGATATTTCTTTTGGGCATCATCGGGAACACTCTGGTCATGATTGTGATCGGGAGGATCAAGTCCAGGCGCTCCAGAAGTATTACAAACACTTTTATCCTCAATCTCAGCATAGCGGACCTGTCTTTCCTCCTGTTCTGTGTCCCGTTCCAAGCCACTATTTACTCTTTGCCGGAGTGGATATTTGGCGCCTTCCTTTGCAAGTTCGTGCACTATTTCGTGATGGTTAGCATGCTGGTGAGCATCTTCACCCTGGTGGCCATGTCTGTGGACAGGTACATAGCCGTGGTCCACTCCAAGAGGTCCCCATGCATTCGCAACAAGAAGAACGCGTCCATTGGCGTCAGTGTCATCTGGGTGCTGTCCTTCGTCTTCGCCATCCCCGCGGCTCAACACCAAACCCTCACCGGCCACCAAGAGGCTCCCAACAGCTCCTTCTGCTGGGAGGAGTGGGCTGTCAGCACCACCAAACAGACCTACAAAGTCACCATTTTGGTAATCGGATATTTGCTGCCGCTGGTGTTGATTACGTGCTGTTATGCAAAGGTAAGGTAATATATACCTCTTTTTTACCGTGTTTGTATTTGATAGTTTGTTTTTACATTTAACAGGGTAGCTAGCAGGAGTAAAGTTGACCTGTTGCTATTGGAAGCCAGTGCGTTAAGAGCTGCACAGTCGCGCGTGCCCGGGCTCTGCTCTACTCGCTTGTCCCTTGTCGGAGAGCCGGTGAGCCAGGAGCAGCCAGCGAGCAGAGCGGAAGGATCAGGTGTCAGCGACTCGCTGGAAATGGAAATGCGAGCGTTAAATTCTCCGGCGAAGTAGCTCTCGCCGGTGAATTTCACAAAAACAAGCTCTTGTGGGTGAACCGGCAGGGGATAACACGTCCCTGAGACCCCACAGTTCAGGACAGGACTTTTGGAGCTTCTGTCAAAAGGAACTGCTGGGGGTGCGATTGCGCTGCTGGCTGAAGGGGCGTTGCCGCGGCGGGGGTCGTTAACAGTGATCCTCTGGGTCTCGACATTGTAGCTGTTGCACATGGCCTTGGTTAAATATAGTCATTATTAACAACATATTAAGTGTGTTGTAAATTCTTTAAGGATGCTCATAACTCTTTATACAGTTACTGCTAATAATCCACACGTGAAACAGCGTATGCGCTTCATGCGATGTCTGTGTTATTTATTCACTGATGTATTTTGTGACATTTGGATACTTGAGCCCAGTCCAGTCAGAGTCAGCAGTATTCCTTTTTGTAATGCTGATAGGGGCGTGTCAGTGCTAGGGAGCTGGGGTGGGCCTACTGTATGTGTCCAGATGTTTTATCAGTGTCATTAACCTCTGCTGTAGATCACAACTTGCCTGCACAGAAGCTCAACTCTCCCACCTTCACTCTCCTCTAACCTGGGCTTCATATCTGGTGAAGCTCTGGCTGTTTCTCTCCCAGAACTGCAGAGTCTAACCCAGTGGGAGAGAAAGGGCAGTCAGGAGAATTGGGGTGAAGGATATACTGGGCATATCGCCCAGCAACTTCATTCATTCGTTTGCTTTTTCTAAGAGGTTACGTCCACTGAGCTACAGGTACACACTTCAGTAACACACTACACACTAGCAACTCTGCTTGCAGTCTTAGCTCAGCTGTGTGACATGGAGCAGAGCTCCTTGTTCAGCATATTCATAGTGCAGGACTGTCAGACTCCCCCTCTGAGTGCCAATCTGCCCTCAGCTCTGGTGCAGGAGTGTGTGGCAGTGCCTGGTGGATCTGTGGGGGCAGCAGCGTAGATTACACCCCATTTGCTGCCAGACACCATGTGTGTTAAAAGGTCAAGTGTTTCCAGATGCATTAAATCAGATTTTTAGAGACCAACTGCACCCAGATCCAGAGCTCTTGGACTGGAGGGATTCTAAATGCACTGGCTTTCCTGTTCCACAGAAATGAGCAAGCTAGAAAAAGAAATGTTCAGAGTGTAGTTGTGAGCAATTCTCAATCTCCACAGTGCTGAAAAAGATGGCAAGTACAAAGCAATTCAACAAGTGGTCTTTAATGCAGCAACAGACAGCTGACAGCCAGGACTCTCACTCAGCAGGAGTTTCAAGACCTGGAGTTTGGTCAAGTGCTGTGTTTTGGAGTGACCTGCACCTGTGTGTGGATTATGTAGGTGGACAGTCAGTCCTGCAACTCTGGCATTATAATGGCAGGAGAATAGATCAGCAGCAATTGTATTTACATAGATGGGTAATGATACAGAACTGGAGCTTCTGCAGCAGCCCCAAGTCCTGCTGAATAAAAGGTTGTCTAGGGAAATCATTGCAGTTTCATGATAAAAGGTGTAATTTTTAGATGTGCAGCTGTCAAGAGGGTACATCTGTGTGCCAGTTCCATTAGCCAGCTATATTGTATAAGAGTGGAGCAAGGTTACTATCTGCTGATATAATAACCGTTCTGTTAAGTTGAATAGAATTTGTAGTTCATGTCTTGGAGTACAGGAACCTGGAAGTATTTAAGTCAAGCTTTAATTTTATGCTAAGCTTGTGTTTATTTTTGTAGGTTTTGTACCATCTTCATAAAAAAGTGAAGAACATGTCCAAGAAGTCAGAGCGTTCGAAGAAAAAGGTAGGACTTGCTGTGATCATAACCTTCTTCAGCATACGCAAGCAGTGTAGGCAGGCAGGCAGTGATGACGACTTCAAATAGTCTTTTTAAAGGGTGGTTATCAGTTAGGAGCACAACCTTTACAGAACGCAATGAGAATAGCAATCAGAAGAATGGGAAAGAATAATTAAATATTATTGAAGACGTATCAGCATGTATGACAGTAGAACAGAATTTTGACTACTGTTCCTAATCCTGTAAATAATATAAAGTGTTTTAATGGGCAGCTGAACAGTTCTCTGTGAGTGTGAAGTATCAGGAACTGAATGAAAATAATTCAGATCACTAGCACTGTCTTCTGTGAAAGCTTTATCGCGGTTCTGTTTTTTTCTACTGGGCAAAGCCACAGTGTTGAAGTCCAAAAGAAAAGTCTTGGAAGTACACAGATAACTGGGATTTTTCACATTTATCCCAGAGCTTCAGCACACTTACTGCACCTGGTTTCCCAGGGTCTCTTCATCATGGTGTCACTCACATCATAATCCCTTACTGAGGTAAAGGTACAGTATCATGCAGAACAGAGCCACAGAGGCACCCTGGATCAGAGATCACGTGGGGTCCTGTAGCAGTAACCAGACCAGAGAGCACAAGAGTGGAGCATCAGAGGGATCACCCCACTTATACAGCTGGTTGGACAGGAGCCACTGGGGTAAAATATCTCACTACAGGTACAACTGTAGTAGGGACTGAAACCCACAACTTCAGATCTATGAGATTAAAGGGTTGCCTGCTACACTAGTCACCCCTGTGGCATTGCTGTACACTTCTTGTACTGTTCAGCAGAGTGAATATTCTCACACATGTGGTCACCAGAAGCCAAAAGGTCACCGCAGTGTCTCACTGATTTCTTCACAGCATTGGGCTTATGCAGCACAAAGCCAGAATGCCTGTAATTTCTTTTATGAACTATTTTACATCGGAACAATGGCTGTGTTACCGTTGACTACAGAGGCTGCGTGTGTGCTGCTCCCAAAAGAAAATAACACAATTAAGCTTTTTCCAGGATGTTAGATAACATGCATCTGACATGTGAGGAAGAACAACTCCAACAAGCTAGTTAATTTTGTGAAAACAGTAATTATAATAATGAGATAAAATTTCCCCTAATGTGTTTTAAAGTCTTTGATTTTACAGCTTAATGGAAGAGTAGCGATCAGTAGCTATAGCAACAAACTACTGACCTTGGGACCTGGTTGAGGACCTTACATTTATTCCAAGGACTTATGTTGAGGCCAAGTCTTAATTAAAACACAGCAATACCCACACTGTTTTGGATGTTGAGCTCAGTAAAGACTGGATTTCTGCAGAAAACAGAGACTGCCTTGAGGCAGTTGTCGCAAAGCGAAGTCTTGTATTTGTTGTATAATATTGACAGTGTGTTGTTTTCATACATAAGAAGCTGATTATGGCCCCCACCTAGGACAACCTGAAAATTACTGTAACTCCTTTGTTTTCATTATCTGCCCACAAGAGAAGGATCAAGAACAGAAGAACCTCGAAAGCAGGAAAAGATTAATGTTTTATTTTGACGGATTTTTAGATGTTTTTGTAAGTATCAGTGCCATGGTTGATGTATGTTTTGGTTCTGGCAATGTTTCCCAGTTGTGACTACATACAGTACTGACTACAAGGAAGAGCTTCTGTCACTGCCCCTGTTTGAAGACAGATAAAAGCAGCAGTGGATCCTCAGTCTACAGCAGCTGAATCCGAGAGGCTCCAGGGGATGATTTGGACATGTCAGAAACAATGTGCTACTGCAGTCGCTTCTCTCCTGGTGCGCCAGGGAGATGGCTGAGATAATGATGGCCTTTATTTAAAGAGTGGGAGGCAGAGCAGAAAAAGGCATGCAGGATGGGCTGATGACTGGAGATGCAGTCCCAGCCTTCTCTTCACTGCCATCATGTTAAAACTGTGCTGTTGCAAAGATAACATCTTACACATTGAGAAAGTCATTCCTGTTCTCCCCACTTAATTTATAATGACCTGACGTTTACATAAAATGATATTTTCCAATCCTGATCCAAAGTTAGTACTCTATACTGATGTTATAGAGTATGTATCTTGAGTTTCTTATATATTGAGACATAATAAACACAACAAATTCTAGATTGTTTTAGAACTACTAAATGGCTATACTAAAACAACTAGATGTTTTTTGAATAATGCTACTACTAATAAATAATAGTAATAATAATACTAAAACAAATAGAAGGTTTTAGAATTATATGTTACAATACTGAAGAGTATGAGAATAAATGCTGATAAAGTAATTGAAATTGTGCAAAATGTGTGTAAAGAGAGTGCACGATAACAGCAGCAGGAAAGCAGGTAATTCCTGTGGGAGCTGTGGTAGAAGCACCATGTTATGTTCACCCTTCAGTATATAAGGGCTGCTCACCAGCTGTGGGCTTTGTAGTACGTTATTACAGGCAGTGAGTCATGGGTGCATGGTCTGACAACAGGCACATCTTTAAACTCCGAGAAAATACACGTGTAGCTCTTATGGTTTTTATGATGGCTTTTCAAAAAGAGTTTGGACATATTTAAATTACACATTGTCATACAGAGGTGCAGTATATCATTTGTGCACATGATACTCATTGTATCACGGGAAATATTTTGATATCCACCAAAAGCTTTGTTTTATCCTAAGATCCAAGACCAATCGTTAGGGAAAGGGAACACACAAGGGAACACACAAGGCCTGGCACTGGAGAACTAGAGGCTGTAAAGGCTGTGGCCTTGGGGAATCACTACCCCTGATGTTCAGAGTGGATAAGGACTTCAGAGCTGCAGGTCCAGCGATCTGCATCGATCACACGAAATCTTTGTCAGCTAAACATTACTGTAGTCAGTCCTGCTGTAGCACAAAAAAAGCAGTGTGATGTAGCAGACA